TTGCTCCAGAGCAGAGGAATTTTGTACCTGCTTTAGAAAGGTCAGGTTGCCTAAAATATACCAAATAGCATCTGCACCTACTCAGATTCCTGATTGCTGAAGTTTCCAATGAAAAAAGAAAGCAATCATTGTGCATTTTCATGTTGATTTTAAAATATTTTTGTAGCATGTTGCATCCTACTGACAGGACAGTAGAAAAGACCAGAGAAACATTACAAAAAATACATGCATGTGTAAAATTTGTTCATTACCTCCATGATGTGTCAAGAAGAGAAAACAACTTCCTATTAAAAGTTATTATGTTTATTAAAAGGCTCTACTTTTTCTCTTTGCAGAAATGCAGTTCATTACCTGTGCCAGAGACGGCCACTGCGCTGCACTGCTGTGGCACAGGGTGAGCTGAGCACATTGCTATGAGCCCAGGCATCAGGTGCTCCAGGCATGGCAGGCAGGGGAGGACCAGGTCCTGCAGATGTGCCGAGGAGTGCAGAAAACTACTCCTTCTTGCAGATGGTGAGGGGAGAGAAAAGGGCTTGCTGCAAATCATTAGCTGTAGTATTCGTCCAAAACGCATCCTCGACAGTTTCTAAGCACTAGCATAGCCAAAAACATGTGCATGGGGCATGTATTACCCTTGTGAAACATCAGCAGAGCTGTCTGTTTCATCATGGATTATTCCAGTGGGAACACAGGAGCAGTGGGAATAGTTTGAAGGCAGAATCCCAGCCTTCCTGCTCCCAGCCTCATCACTATCCACTATGGTCTGTGAGCTCCAGTAGGCATTAGGTACTCTAAAAATTCCACATGCAGCTCATTTTGGCACATTGGGCAGATGTCCACAATATGTGCTGGCCAACATCTGGCCATTCTGCTCAGTGTTCCACTTACTGTACTGTGGGACTTGACGCACCGTGTCTGTGGACATAGCGAAGCGCAGGCTGCTATGGCACGACTCAGAAAGGTGCTCGAATATCACCTGGAGACCCCTGTGCTACCAAGGAAGGCTGAACATTGGGCAAGGTTTGGCCCCATGTCCCCTCTAATACTCTGCAGCAAAGAGCAAAGAGCTCTCAGGACCTCCCCAGCACCATCAGTTATGGTTCCTCAATTTCTTCAAATTAGGACTATATCTGATAAAATAAGCGAGCTTAAAGATCACTCTGTCAATTCTCAATTGAGTCAGATTTTTTTCCATTTACGGGCAAGGGCAACCCATAAAGCACAGACTTTAATTAACCCCAGTGAATGCAGCGGATATGAAACACCAGCACTCTTAAAATATGGCTGAAAGGTCTTCTGAGTTCCCCCACACTCATCCTGCAAGCTCACTAGCCCCAAGAAGAGCAGAACAGTGCCAAGAAGCACTTCAGGATAAGAAGCCACATATAGAGGGTAAACCCCATTTCTTTCAGCAGCAGAAGTTCACCCAGATTCAAGGTCAAGATCTCAGGCTGGCTGAGGGCAAAAACAAACCCATGGCTGGCAAAGCCCTCCTCACTACTGCGGGCATCAGGGCAGACACCCACTGCTGGGACCTCATCAGAGCACTATCAGAGCAGCATCAGGCAGTGTAGTGACAACTCAGAAACATCCTCCCCCAGTAATTACATAAAACCAGGAAGGAGGACAGGAATACTGATGCTTTTCATCTTCCATTCCACAGCACTTTCAGTTCCCCCAGGTGTGGTGCTTTCCGGTAGAAGAACAGCTGTGTTCTTTTGCCCTTTATTACTACTTTCTACTTTTAGATTTCCTCATGAACCAGCAGGACACCTCCCTGCCTGGAGTCGTTGTTCTTCTCCCCAAAGTGGCTCGTTCTGTTCTTCTCCTCTTCACTTTCCATCTGCATGCTCCATTGGCAGCATTAAGCCTTCACCACCTCTGCTGCCCCAGGGCTGCTGTTTGGATGATGTTAAACAACTAAAACACAACATGATTACAGGCAGCACAGCACAGCAGAGAACAAACCAGCAAAATCCAACCATGCATAATGCCATGGATCCCTTGCAACTGTCCATCTCCAGCTCTAGGAGATAATTCAGCTTTTCTAAGGAGCAATAATGAGCCTTCTGCATGTGCCTCAGTTCACAGCAATGCCAAGGCACGTTTCTTCATACATGGACACACAGATGGGCTGGATTGTCCTCATGGTTCCACGAGACTGCCAGCTTTGCACTTCAGGCCTCTTCTCACTGCTCTACATCCAGGTTGTTCTTCTAAGAACTTCATTCATGTGAGTGCACTGTCTGGCTGCAGCTGCTGAAGCAAGGGAAGAAGGTGAAGGGGAGCGTGCCAAGTGCAGCCAGCTGGGGGATGATGGGGGACAGAGCTGAGTTCTGCTGCCCCACTCCAGACACTCAACACTCTGTGCCTGTCCTTTAGAAGCCACCATGGTGACACCACCAGGCATACGGCTGCAAGGCAGGTTTCTTGCTGCTGTTATTTTGCACACTCCTTTCTGACAATAAGTGCCACTGAATCATAGAATCACTGAATCACTGCTTGCAAAGGATGGAGATTTTGGGGTTTCTTCCATTCCCCCCAAAGCCTGGATGTGACCAGGGGAGCAGAGAAAGCTCTAGGGTCCCTGCTTAGAAATGTTTCTTCCAGCCAGTGGATGGATCTATTACTCTTCCAAGAGATCTTCTTCAGGTTCACTGCAGGTCTGAATTAACCTGTTTCTAATGCTGCTTTGCCTGCTGGGGCCAGCCCTGGGCACTTATGGCTGGGCTGCAGACTGACACCTGGCACTTGGAGCATGCTGATGGGGTACCTCATAAAATACAGAAAATGAAGGGAACAGATTTTATTACACTGTCTGTGCTTCCTCTCATTTTGAGAGCTGCTGTTTTTCTGTGCTCCCTCTGGTGGTCTGCTTTCTCTTTCAGAAAAAAAAGTATTGAGCCACAAGAAGGAAAAGGCAGCCTCTCTCAGTAACACCCGTGAAATCTGTGGGCTGAGATGAGCTGATTGTGATGGGCAACACATGGGCCTCCTACAGCCAATCTCAAGTGGACACCGTGCAGGTGGGGGCTACTTCAGTCTACAGTGTCAGCAGCAAGCTGGGGGGGTGAAGGCAAGGAATGGCTCTGTTTTCCTGCACTTGCAAAATAAATAAATAAATAAATAAAAATAAAAATAAAAAAAAAAATTGTCCCCCAAACTCCAACTTTCTGAAGCTTACCATGCAGTGCAGAATGATGGTGAGTTCTAGAACCAGAAATATTTGATTAAAAATACGTATATATTTAAGTTAAATGAGGGCACCTAACCAGCTGGTTTCCTGTGCCATTTTTAGGAACACAATCATTAAGGTTCTGCTGCAGTGCTGAGGCAATGCTGTAACAGGCTGAGCCTCAGTCATTGGGCACCTATGGGGTTTTATAAATTATTATCTGTAGCTGTGTCTGGTATACAAAATTAGCTATTTTGCCCATGTGTGTTGGAAGTAGTGGGGATTAATGAGGATTGTAAACAATATATACCTGACAGAGCAAAATAAGGAAAAGTTAATGGATGTAATTACTGGAGAGAGCATTCCAGGTATTGAATGGTATTCCAGTTATTCAATGTGGTGGTGTTTAGGGAAGACCTAATTACATTTGCATGGGATAAACATTTCCCCATCAGCGTCTGCAGATGGCCCCAAACTTGCATATGAGCCCACAGCTCGCCATATCTGGACTCTTATTCAGGTAGATTTTCTTAATGAAAGATTTTCTTAATTTCTTGAGTGTTAAGTCACACATAACACACAGCTAAGAACCACTCTGTTGATGTTTTATTTTGTTTTGTTTTGTTTTTCCATGACCTCCCCAGTATGTGAAAATCCTGTTGAAGAAGCAGAAAAAAATTAACAGAAGAACAAAAAATGTGAAGTAGGTGTGGAGGCTCCTGGACAGGGAAGCTACAGCGCCTGAAGCATGAAGCACCTCAGCCAGCTGGCAGATGGAGATGTTCTCAGGCAGTGAAACCGCATCCTGTGAGAAGTGTGGGTCTTGCCTAGCCCTGCAGGCAATCAGACCTCTTCTTTCAGCACAATGTTTCCTTCAAAAAATACGGAGCAGTCAGTGCAGTTGGCATTTGCTCCCAAAGCGCCATGTACCTCCTGTGACTGATGGGACAGATTGTGGCCAGCCCACGATGGCACCCTGGGTCTTGAAGCTCCTGCTGGCTCTTTGTTTGCTCTGGAAATGGTTCTTTTTTTTCACCAGGAAAGGTAGGTAATGGTGCTGGTGGTGGTGCTGGGGATGAGCCATCCTACAGCCTGCCACCGGAGAGCTGCAATTGACTCTTACCCCTGCATCAGAAAAACGGGACAAGGAATTGTCAAAGACCCTCAACCCAGGAATGGGTGTGTTCAGGCTGATGTTACCTTATAGTCATTGTATAGGGCAGGAAGAAGTATTGTGAAAGTCCTCACATGGCTACTTGTGACCTAGAGTGGCTTGGTTCGCTATGAAAAAGATCAAGTATTTTAATATAATTCACTGTAATTACTGCTCAGTGGTTTTAGGAGCTCATTTCCAGCCCCGGTGAACAATCAGCAGTCACTGGGGATTGGTATAAGGGGAGGATGGTGGGAATTCATCTTGCTTTGCCTTCAGCATGAGGATATTATCAGCTCCCACTCTACAGAATGAGGACAGTTTCTCACAAATTTCTCCATTATTATTAACATCGCTCTTAGTTAACTGGCAAATTGAGTATCTAAGGACAGGTGGAGCTGACTCTCTCTTTTCCCTAGATCTGGGAGCAGAAATGAAGTCATGTTTTAGCTGTCCCATTCATACCTTTATTTCTCATGTTCAGTGTCTAGAGACTGTTGAGTATGACGTACTTAGTTATTAATATATTAAACATCTATTTGGTCTTCTTCCAGCACTTCAGCACTTTTATATCACTCATTAAATCTCCTTTAAGAATTTTCTTAGCTAAGCATCTGCCCATTACGCCCAAAATTTTTGGAAAATAAAAATGTTCAGGATGAGAGGAAATCCAAATGGATTTATCAGAATTGGTCGTGGTGTGACTTCTTGGTGACTAAAAGCAAACTCAAAAAAAAAAAAAACCCAAAAAAACAGTTACCAAAGAGCCCATGCTTTTAAAGAGAAAATGTGTTCTGGGAAAATTTGAACATTTCTAAGAATTAGGGAAATGACAAAATCAGAGACTTTTCCACCAAATGCATCTTATTTTTCTGTGGAAGTATCTTCAGCCAGCACATCTTCGGTGGAACATCTCTCCTGTTTGCTCCCTACTCCACAAGTCCAGACTCCGCAGCACTGGCTTAGCTGATGCCCATGCATTTTGTCCATGCTTATTTTATGTTACTCTTGTCACTTTCAGATATGTGTTGCCTGCAAGGCAATTAGACAAAAATGTCTTACTAGGAGCCAAGCACTACATTTATGATGCTGTATCTCACACTGCAGAAAATGAATGGAGAAGGACTATACCAAAACACATCATGGTATGGTACGCAACACATAGAGGGAGAACTGCTTCCACTGCAACCATGTTAAGAAGAGGGCAGCTTCATTAAATATCCAAGTAGATGAACAAATATATTTGAAAGCTGTCTCTTGCGTAACGTGAATTTAAGTTAATGCAATTTTTTTTTTTTTTTTTTTGCCAATTACTTGGCACAGTGTCTCTTGTAGGACTTCTTTGAATCAAAATGGCTTGTATGCCCAATAACAGCAGCTGGAAATTGCAGCAATGGGGATCTCCATCAATAACATTGCAATGGTATGTGCCTGCATGCATGCAAGATTTACAACACCAATAGTGGAAGGTGTCAGGCATACCTCCTGGGGCTAGGATGAGGCAGCTCCCTCCCCAAGGGGAAAACTCACAGGCAGAACAACAGCACTCCCCTTATAATCTTGTTTTGTTCATTCTTGTGTCAAATTCTGCCTTGTTCATCTCTCATTTCTCTATTCCCTTTGCCATCCATTAATGATGCATGGCCAACTTTCTGCACCTCATTTTAAGAACAATTCAAGTAAAATGAAACATTTTAAAAGCCTTCTGGTTGTAGGCAATAATGGTTCAGTTGGTGTGCAGGACAGTTATGTGTCTCATCTCTTTTTTTTCTTTTTTTTTTCTTAATTCCCCACAGGATCTCAAAGCTCTGCTACATCAGCTGGAAAGCTGTGCAAGATCTGTAGTATGCACCAAACATGAGGAAACTTCTGTGAGTACACTTGCGGGGGAATGTGCATGTAAGGCTCTTTGGGCATTAACCAAAATCATATTATTTTTCAGTAAAGTTTACATTTCTTTTTCATACACAAAACCAAGTGTTTGGAAAACTCGTTTTCCTAAATTGCTTTCTCTGAAAGCAGGTATCATATAGTGGTTTGTACAGCATTAGGCAAAAACTATTTTTAAGGATTGGGTCACTATGGTAACCACTTCTTATCTCAGAATCAAAAAGCGGTTATGATTGTAATTAAAAAATGTATGCTGCCTACCAAGAATTATTCTGAATTATAATTCATTTTCTGTCGCATATTCGAGTTATTTATATTGCTCCCAAAGGCATTGCCTTTTATTATAATTCAGTAAGGCAGCACTTCATACAGAGAGACTGTTTTGAGTAGAGTGCCAGAAATTGTGGTCAAAGACTTCAGCTTCTGAAACTCCAGGAGTGCTTTGTGTCCTAGAAAGGGGAAACAAGAAGATAAATACGTCCTCCTAAAAGCTCATGCTTTGTCACTAGTTGTTGCACATCCCAAGATCAGTCATAATGAGTTATAGATGTGAAACCCATGAACTAAGAACTCCCATCCAGTTATTGACTGGCAGCTCCTGGAGAATTTCCTTCAGCTTGCGCCCTTCCCTTCTGTTCCCTGCACCAGACTCATGTGTGGATATCTTGGTGATCGCTAGACCATGAGGAGGGATGGCAGTGAAATCATTGCCTTTAAGAGCTGTTAAAATAAATAACAGAAGTGTAGAGCTCCAAATGGCTCTAATGAAGCCTGCCTGGGAGTTCAAAAGGGCTTCCCAAATTCAATGGGAGCAAAACTGGGCTCGTGAGGAGGCGGCCCGCTCCAGCTGGCTCTCACAGGCTCAGACCCCATACTACTTTATGGAGAGAAAATTGCATTTTTTCATTAGTAACTATTATACCATATTAACTATTTTCAAATAGCACCAACTATATATCACTTCCTCTCTGCTTTGGGTCTGCTCAGGGCTGGGAAGAGGTTGTTAGCAGGATCTCTGGCAATCGCCACTGCTTTTCATTTTTTGAGCTACAACCTATTTATCCTTCAGCTAACACACCACAGAGCAAATATGTGTTTTATGTAAATAATAATAGATTTGATTGCCTAAGTGAATCTTTTTTTCACACTTTCCAAGAGGGAGACAGAGCAAATGTTTATCTACCCAAAACCTGTAGTTTTCAACATCATTTTTTTTTGGCTTATTTTTCTGTGGTACAGTCATGCATCCCCATAGACGACCAAATACTTTCTGTTGGAAATGGATTTACTGCTCAGTGGCCACAATTATTCTAGCAGCACACCCTGGAAAGCCTTTTTAGTGTCTAAAATGAGGGGTTTATTTTTCCTGGTGAGGCTCCTGTGCTGGGGAGGTTGCCAGATTAGAAGTAATCAGTAAGGTAAATGAGCCAGAGACTAATCGTTTGTATTCCTTTGGACTTGCTCCATCGCCCCAAATGACTCGAGGTGCAGAGGAAGTTTTAATTAATTAACCCAGGGCCTCCCTTCCTCCTCCACCTCTGCCATGGAAAGCCCAGAGGACCTGTATGCCCACTAAATCCCTGATGCCCTGAATCCCTCCCAGAGCAGAAACAGCAGGGAAAGCTTTGGGTGTGAGGATGGATGGGGTGAGGAGGACTCATGCAGGTGGGTAAGAAGGATTGTAGGGTATAAGAAGCCATGCTGCACAGTGGTGGTGATGCCTCCTGTGTGCTTTATCTTCATGGCTTTTACACTGGGTTTTCTTTTTTCCCTTGTTAAAATGGCTTGCTTCTACTGCAGCATAAACCAACTGCTTGGATTTCCCAATAATGCAGCTTTTCTTCTGAAAAGTTTTGGTTCTTTTTTCCCTCCATCAGGGAAGACAAAATTAAGTGGTTTATCTGGGCTGGTTTAACCCTCTCCGATCTGCTCTTGAGAGTGTCCCTGTCTAAAGAGGGTGATGTGCTTTCCTTTTAGCAAACCATAAGAATACAGAGACCCAACCCACATCAATGCCATGAATTTCTCAGGTGCAAACTGATAAGAGAAATACTTCATAGTGGCTATAATGCATTGGAGTGGCAAATGACTTCATTAAGTCTGCAGTGATAATTAGTTCAATCAGCTGAAGTGTGGCTCAGTGCAGCACACTTCAGAGGTGTGTCATGTGGTGGGGGTCACTGCCCCCAGCTAGGAAATCATCCTCAGACCAATGCTTCCTCACCCAGGGGTTAAGCAAGATGTCTTCCTGCTCCTCCTGCTCTTTGCAATTAATTCCCTGCTTTGATTAATTCCCTGATGCCATTCAATGAGGCCAGGCTGAGCTTCTGGGAGGAAATCTCAGCTTAGCTGTGGTTCAAGCTGCAGGAAAATGTTGCATTCTCCCCTGACTTCTCTGACTGAAACCCCACTGAGCTGAGTGTCTGCTCTGAGTGCATGGTGTCCCTGAGCCCCACCAGGGAACAGCATGACTCTCACTGTTGGGTTTCTCTTGTAGGGGGAAAAAAACACAGAATACCAAATACTGTTCTTCTGTTACTTCCTTTGAAACCAGACTCAAAAGAAAATATGCTGCTTTGAGAGCATCTTTTCCCTGGCTGGCTGAGGCAGGTGCCTTCTTCTGGGCAAAGACTAACAGGGTTGCTTCATGTTGATATTCAGGTCTTCACGAAGCGTCTTCAATATCAGACGTCACAACTGTGTCAACATGCCAATGCAAGTGTTTCAGCCTCCTGTATCTATATCATCTTTTATTTTTTATCTATATTTAATTTTATTTCATTTTTTAACTGAGCAGTGTGAGAGACAGACAGTGTATGTAATACTCATGATTCTTGAGGACCTCCCTAGCACTTGAATTTGGCTTGCTGGAGTTGGGCCCAGGCTGCCTTGGGTTTTAAATCTGTGATGGTTTTAATGCCAAACAATTCATTCAAACATGGTATTGCTTGTGGAGGTTATCTGCTGCCCTACCATGGGACAGCAGCTTCCTCTGATGTTATCTCATCTTTCTAGTTCCGTGATGTCACTTGCTGGTGTAGTACTACTCCTAAAAACAGATCTTTAAAGAAGGGAATGAGCTTGTCTGTTTTGAGAATAAATATCGTATTTTCAATATTCATTGCAGAGTGCCTGGTGTGAAATACTGCTTTGCGTGAAAGATACACTTTGTGGTCCTCCTTTCACAAACTGCTTGGTGAATGGAAGAGAAGAACCATGCTGCAAGGAGCTAGTAGATTGGTGTTGCAGCTCTCTGGCCTCAAAACAGGAGAGATGTCAGGCTGCTTTTATAAAACAAAAGCTCATTCCAGGTGGCTGTAACTCCCACTGCTCTTGAACGAACTCACTTGACAGTGCTTGTGCCATCTCCTGCCTAAGGGTGAACTATTTTGGGGTCACACGTTCTTTGAGCCACTGTGGTCAGTGACCCACAGCAAATCTCCTTATATGAAGATGCTCCAAGGCAGCTGGACTAGATTCCTATGGTGTTACAGAATCACAGAATTGCAGGGGTTGGAAGAGACCCCAAAAGATCATTAAGTCCAACCCCCCTGCCAAAGCAGGTATCCTACAATAGATCATGTAGGAAGGCATTCAGGTGGGTCTTGAATGTCTCCATAGGAGACTCCACAATCTCTCTGGGTAACCTGCTCCAGCGCTCTGTCACCCTTTCCATAAAGAAGTTCTTCTGCATGTTAGTATTTTGTTCAAATTTTAGGCTTCTTTTAGACTTCTTATCCTATCACTGCATATTATCGAGGAGAGTCTGGCCTCATCCATTTGCCTCCCACCTCCCTTTAGATATTTATAAACATTTATCAGATCCCTTCTCAGCCTTCTTTTTCCCAGAATGAACAGACCCGGGTTAATCAGTCTGTCCTCATAAGGGAGACATTTCAGGTCCTTAATCATCTTTGTGGCCTTCTGCTGGACTCCTTCTAGGAGTTACAGAGCAGCTGGATGGAGCCTAAAGTCCTCCCTTTTTTCCACTACCCCCTGTCTTCAGCAGAAACCCTGCTTAGTGCTGTGGCTTCTCATACTAAGCCCTGAGAAGCTCTTGTGTGATAATTGGTCAAGATTAGAGGCTACAGCAATGGGAGGGTTGCTGAGCTCAAAGAGCCTCCTTCAACTTGAAGCATGCAAGCGTGCCTGGTGCTTGGGGCAGAAAGCAGCATGTAGTACCCACCCTCTCATCACAGCTCCTGCTTCTGGAGCTGGCTACTGTAACTATCCATCCATCCATCTGTTCTCTCAGCCTGAATTCATTTCTTCATCCTCTGGAGAGGGTAGGATGTGATCATCATTACCTATGGGGTCACAAAAAGAGAATGTTCTCACAGAAACAGAAGGGATTCACTCATGAGACAGAGGGATCTGCTCCCTCTAACCCATCTGCTCTTCTCCAGCAAACAGAACACGTATAAAACACTCCTGGAGCTACAAGTCCACTACTTGCATCCTTTGCCTGTTGCTCTGCAATATGTTCCTGTGACTTGGCCAGGTGACTTGAGTGATGGAGCTGAATGAAGAAGAGGGAGGGATGTACATCTTGGAAATGGTTTCAGGAAGCTTCTTTCTGGTTACTCCCCACATCACATAAGAAGGGAAATGTGTGTGTCTATGTCATTGTTGATTATTTTGTCTTTTTCCCTCTGAAGAAGTGAACTATGTAACTGTGTTGTTGCTGTTCCACAAACACACTGTGGGCACACAACCTGGGAACAGCTGAAAGTGCTGAACAGACAAAGCATCCTAAGCCAGGTGTTAATCCTGCTTTGTAAAATAATTTAAATAATTCAGGCACAGACTTAAGTACTATTCTAGACTGAGGTTCCAGGAATCTGCTGGATTCTGTTCTTGTGATCAAAACCTTCTTATCTTAACCAGATTTCTATCAGAGCTTGGGCAAACCTCTGACATTGCATTTGGAATTCTTTCACAAAGGTTCCATTGGCAATAACCCAGACACCAGCATGCACTTTGGGAAACAAATGAGCATAAACCCACACCGAGTTGTATGGGAGAGGGGGAAATCAGCCAATAGGGGTTGGAACTAGATTATCTTAAAGGTCCCTTCCAACCCAAACCATTCTGTGATTCCACAGCTTTTTTTTAAGGCAGACAACCATGCCAAGGTGAGATATAAATGGATGAAAGCCAGGCAAAAGACAGCCACAGCAAATACCTTGATGTCCTGCTATTCATTCTGGAGAAAAATTGACAGCAAAAGGGATCTGGGCAGCGTTAAGCACCAGCAGCACATTCTAATGCTGCTGAGCTGACTTCTTGCTGCCACTCAATTAAACAGCTGTTTTTCAAGGAGCAGTAGATACCCCAGGGGGATGCTGCTGTCCTGTTTTTGATGTCTTCTGAACACTGAGTCTGGTATTAAGTAGCATCTAGGCACTAACCTTTCACTAAGTATCAACTTAATTCTGGGCTCATTTGAAAGCTTTGGGAGATCCCATGACAATCAGCCTCTCAAGTTACCTCAGCGTGGCATGGAAAAATGAAATGTCTCCTTGCAGATTTTCACTGGATGCTCCTCCCTTCCTTGAGAGGTACTGACTAATCATTTTGTAAGCAAGGATTGTCTTTTAAATATAGGTGAGGAAGTTGCAATTGTGTGTTTCTCTTCTCCAAAGAATTTAGCAGGATACTACTAAGGACAAGAGGTAATAGCCTTAAGTTGCAGCAGAGGAGGTTCAGGTTACGTTTTAGGAACAATTTATTTTCTGAAAGAGTGGTAAGATATTGGAAAAGGCTGCCCACAGAGGTGGTGGAGTCACTGTCTCTGCAGGTTTTCAAGTAACGTGAAGATGTGGCACTCAGGGATATGGTTTAGTGGACACGGTGGTGATGGGTTAACAGTTGGATTTCATATCTTGGACGTTATTTCCAACCTTAATAATTCTATAATTCTACCTCTTTATGGAGGAGACATGGATAATGTGTTATCCATTTTAATGCTCACTCCTTATCAAAAGGCACATACAATAAAGCCATGAAAGAAAGCAGCAGATTAATCATTTTTCCCCCACTGAAGGTCCTACTTCTTTCCCCCGATATCTGGGATTTCCTGAAGGTCTCAACCCACTACCTTCTCTATCTCACAGTGCTCTTTCAAAGGGATCAAAAGAAACCTGAGAAGTATGGGAAATTGAGTTGTTCATGTCTGGTGCTAAGATGTGAATGTGTTTTTTTTCTAATTAACAGAACTTAAAAGCAGTGTTTTGTAAAGTCATCTCTATGGTTGGTGGTGAAAATGGGACTGTTAAGTCCCATTTGGATTGGATAGTGGGTCAGCAGCGATGTGTGAGTGCTATTCTGGATCTCATGTTTGTCTCTGCCTTAAAATAAATTAAATCTCTCTCTATTGCTGTTGGCAAGCAGCCGAGAACAGCTGAGCTGCAGTGTTCCCTGTGACAAGCTGTGTGTGCTGTATGCGTCTGGTTTTGCTCAATAACTCCTCAGCCATGGGCTCTAAGACTGAGTGGGGGTGGCTTCTCCAGCCACCAGTAATGACTGTTTCTCATGGGATTACTTCATTGGATGCTCTGGCTATGGGATGCAGCACAGCCTTTTTTGACCACCATGTTTTTTCATGTGCGCCTTATAGGGGTTCCTGTTTTCATAGTTTCGTCTGCCTTTTTCTATGTCAACTGTAAAGCAGAGAAATCACAAGAAGAATCATGTCTTTCTGTAAGGAATTTAAAAGATATCCTGTAAAATACTGCTGCAGTTCTCCCAAAATCTGCCCCTTAGCCTTTGCACCAGAGTCCCATTTGGAGGTATCTGTAAGGCATTTACCATATTGCAAATAATTCCCCTCTAACACATGCTGCATGTCCTTTGCCAGCTCATGAAAACCGTGTGCTCCAGCTAAATTTTGGTGGAGGGAGAGGATCAGGATCAAATGCATTTGGGTAATGAGTTGTATGTGCATTGAATATTCTTCTGATTATGGTTTTGGATAATTGGGGAAATTTTCAAAGTAATTAGAAGCCACTAAAGGGACATGATGCTGCTTCATGTATTAAGCTCTGATTAACTGAAGTGTGGAAAGTTCACACTGAAAAAAACAGTCAAAAACTTGGGGCACCACTTTGACACTAATTGAGCCATTGCAGCTCTTGGAGATTTGTAGCCAAAGATCATCTATTTGTACGGAAACCTCAATGGCAGAGACTTTGCCATCGTCCTTGGGAAGTCTCCAGTGTGGCTGCAATTCTCCCCACTCCTCTGCATTTGGCTTTTGGCTTGGTTCTGCTCCCAGCAGTTTGATTTTTTCTCACTCTGTGGCCTGTAGGAGCCTTCTCTTGGGTCTGTGAATCACCCTGACTCCTTCAGCAAGATCAGTGCCTAGGTCCAGATCCACTCCTAAATAGCTGTTGGCATCATGAGACCACTAGGCTACAAACACAGCCAGTGGTGCCTGAATTGAGATAGTATTTAATTGCAGAATCATTACATGGCATCTGTAATTATCCAGATGTCTGTGTCTTTGCAATAGTGATAATAAAAAGGGTAAAGAAAGTTGGCCTTTGAATGCTCGTCAAGTAGGAAAGGTTTCTGCCTTGGGAAGTCGCTGTGCTGGGGGCTTTTAGGGGACAAGTAGCTGCAGCATTTAGGCATATGGTGTAGTGATGGACTTGCAGTGTCAGGTGGATAGCAATATAAAGGGGCTATGCCTCAGAGCTGGTGGGCTCTGCACTGCGCATCAGCATATAGGGAAGGCATCAACAATCCTAAGGATTAGCTGTGAAACTGTTGTAATGGGGAGGGAGACAAGGGACACCTTCTCTCAGAAATATCTTGATTGCATCAGGGAAACTGAAATGATGTGAGACAATTTGGATTTTGTTGCCAGGGCATCCCCTGTGCTGCAGTCCCTTGTGAGCTATGGTCATCCCCTGCACTAAAAGTCCTAAATTGTGTCTTGGAGTGGCTACCATAAGTGTTCTAGGCAGAACATCAGCAAAGCATAAGTGCAATGCTCATTTCACATCTGTCCCGAATTAATCATTTCCTAAATACTAAAGGTACCGTATCATTGTGATTTTCCCTTTTTAATCTGCTGAGGGAGGCGATGTGAGTGATCATGTGTGATGATCTGGGAGCAGAATATAGTACTGCCAGGTGCAGAACACAGAGGGGGCATTCCTCTAAAGCATGCTGCTGGACACCTGCACCAAGCCATTGCTTTTAGCCTCAGGAAGGCACCTGGTGGAGGCCCCAGAGAAAAGTCCCACAAGAAGGAAAGCCCAGATGGCAGCACCCCATGGATTTGCACGCTGCAACAGCCCTGCTCCGGGCCCTCACAAGGTGGTTTCTGTCCAGCTTTACATCAGAGCTGTTTCACCCCTTTTATCAACATAGCTTGCTAGCCGGTGGGTGGGTATGGGGTTTGCGTTGTAAGGAAAAGCAGGAAAGCTCGAGGGTATTTTTTTTTCCTTACAAAGCCTTTGAAAGGTCACTGGGGACCCCTAATGTTCGCCTGCTGCAGAAGCACACACTTCAGAGCTGAAGCTGCAGATGCTACTTCAGGCATCTGTGGGTTTGGTCACATTGGTCACTCGATGGTAAAAGTACCAAAGTACTCTGGGGTGCAAAAATCCTCATGCTCTGTTCCACACCAGGGTATTATCCATTCACTTGAGCAATCATATAAAGGAAAAAAAAGGTTCATAAAGTGGGTGGTTTGGCAACAGAATGCTTTATAAAAGGCACTGGGAGAAATAATTCTAAGAGGTTTTAGGGATATCCTCTAGCCCCAAGATCAACTCAATCCCAGATCTCTGAGCCTCACTCCTTCCAAGAAGGCTGCTAGCCCCTTCCCCAGCTCCGCAGCATCTTTGATTTGGTGACAGGTACCAAACCCAGTCAAAACCTGCAGAATGTGATGCTTGCAACAGGAATGAGCTGCCCTTCTCTCCTTCCCACATCCAGCCCCAAACCCAAGTAAATCAGCAAAACTGCACTTTCTAAGTGGCTTCTAACACACTGAAAGTCAATTAGAGCGATTAAAACAGAGCTGCTAACCACAGGTCTTCAGCACCGACACCATGCTGAATGTCTGTTCTGTGCAGCTCCCAAGTAAATGTGCAGGGAGAGGAAAAGATTTTTTTTAAAGCAGCCAAATTGCCTCTAATTAGCAACACAACTGTAGTCAAAACATAGTGTGTGGATAATAAATTGATATTTGCATAATGGAAACACTACCAAAATGTACTTCAAATAAGCTGAATTATATTATAATTAGAGTTGTGTTTTGGGAAAGAAAATCCTCCTAATTACTGCTGTATAGACAGTGCCAAGGAGGAGAGGGCTGCAGCAGCCAAGGTATGGGGCACAGCATGGGGCCTGCAGGAGTGGCTCCAAAGGCAGGGTAGTTGGCCTTTTCCTTCCCTTCCCTTCCCTTCCCTTCCTTTCCCTTCCCTTCCTTTTTCTTTTTTTCCTATGTCAGGTAGAACTTCATGGAGAGGGTGGTCAGGCATTGGAACAGGCTGCCCAGAGAAGTGTTGGAGTTTCCATCCCTGGAGGTATTTAAGAGATGCATACACATGGCATTAAAGGTCATGGTGTAGTGGTGAGGACTTGGTATTGTTAAGTGATAGTTAGACCTAATGATCTTAAGGGTTCTTCCAACTTAAATGATTCTATGATTCTTTCACTTCCCTCTTATTCTCCCTTTCTTCCTCTCCTGTTCCCCTCTCTTCTCTCCTCCATTCCCTCTCCTTTTCTGTTTCTCCTTCCTTTCTTTATTAGTATTTTTCAAAACTTTTGTTTGTTTTCTGTCTTTTTTTTTTTTTCTAGGCTTTTCCACCTGAACTGTGCAGAGAGTGCTGAAGCCAAGAGGCATTACCTCCTCTCCCTTGACTTTCCTCACTAGCTCAGCTGTAGTGGGGCTGGCAGAACATTCCCAAAGCACCTGCTGATGCTCATGGCTGATTTCCTACAGCCAAAAACTACAGATGAGTTGGTACTCATCTGGGAGATGAAAAGGGAAAGAACCAGTTTCAGCAAACAAGGACAAGATCAGGACCCTGTGGTTAGTTGGCTTTGGCAGCAAAACAAATCTGTGCTTTGGGTGGTTATGCTGAAAGAAAATCAGGGGAAAATCAAACTGGAAAGCAGTTTGAGTGGGAGAAACTTGTACCTGTGGGGAGGTGGTGTAAGGTTCATAATGTGAATGCTGTTTCTGTGCTTCATGGGAAGCCTGTGGATGTGGTGATGAACTGGTGAAACACTGAGTTGCGATAGCTTGCTTCCACTTTAGTCAATCTGCATCTTCTGTTGATATCAAGCTTGCCCTTATTTCCCAGCTCTTACCAAAATACTGGAAGGCACTGGATGACAAGTCACCGGCTGGTTGTATGAGGCCATGGGAACCAGCAAGGCAGTGACTGCAGACCGACCTGGGCATCCCCAGCAGCAGCACCATTGCCAGCAAAATGTTGTATGGCTCTGCAGAGTGAATGCAGTTTCTGTCAAATGCAGGCCTTCCCATGGTAATTTTAAACTGAGGCCACCTCAAGGATTAAGGCAGCTTCCATTAATTATATTATATTAATTATATTTCCCAAAAACTGGCATGGTAATGGTGAAGTTTTTAAGGAATGGCAGCTGTTACATGAAGATTTTATTTATCTTAACCATAATACTTTCTATTAAACCACTGTTATTTATATTACAGGTGACATCACTCACACACGTCATGCTGATTAATGACAACAAAGCTTTAATCACAATCATCTGTTGCAAAAAATAAGCAGAGCATGAAATAGATACAGCACAACCACAGCATCAAACCCAGGTCAGTATCTGGATCTAACTTAATAGCAGGAGACTAATTGGTATGAGGTGTGATCTCCAACTCGTAATTAGATTTCTATAAAGGTGCAGAAGAAGACAAGGCTGGTGCAGTTATTCAGGGCAGCTTTCTGCTCTTGAGAATGTTCTCCAGAAGTTCCTGAGCTTCTCGGAGCCCATGGGCTGCAGCCACACCAAGGAGTTTTTCCACTTCCCTGAAGGACATGAAATCTTCATCAAGAAAAACTAGGAGTTTTGGGTTGTTCCTATCTGACTTTTACTTACCCAGGCTTCTAATAAAGGACAACTACTACTGGATCTGAAAGATTCTATGGTGTTCAGCGGTCTAATATTCAGAGAATTATCTGGTTTTTATTTTGCTTTTCACTGTTATCTGAGCATGTATGTCTCATTATTGGTGATTTTCCTGACCTGACTGAACCGAAGCCGTATGATCTGAAACTCTTGAAATATATACAATCAAATACGTGAGTCTATCTGATCAATATGCAACACGGGATCAAAATGAAACATGATGACTTCAGCTCGCTTTTGCTTTTGTATTTTGGAGCTTGGAGTAAAAAAACTCAAAGCAAAACAATTTTAAGACTGAGTAGCACTGTGATGGAAACTCATTGGTCACTTTTGCTTCAACTAGGAGTGGCCCCTGGATTAGCCATCTCAGTGATTGTGCAGACAGCAGGCTCTGGCTTTCCCTCCATTTGAGCACACTGCAGGGCAAAGGAATGCTGGAGAGAGTGTCCAAATCTCTTTGAAGCTAACAGGACACTGGTGGCCAACACAAGGGCATGCAGTCTGCTTTCTACAAGCAGAGCTGACAACATAACAGTGGAACCTCAAAAATGCCTATGCAGCCTCATCCACAGGATGCCTACAGCACAGGACTTTCCCCCAGGAGGAACCAGATCCTCATCTGGAGCAGCAAGGGGTAGGAGCAGCTGCATTACCTTTCCTCCAGTGCCGCCGTCATGTTGCTGAGAGCTCCCAGTGCCAGGTTGAAGGAGGAGTGTGGGTGGCCCTGTCCTGCTGCCTGCCTGAGAGAGGAGAGGAGGCAAGGAGGAGAAAATATAGAAGAAAAGAAACATCTGAACATTTCCTGAACAAGGCTGTGCTGCCCCATACAGCATGCTGTCTCACTGTTGAGATATTTTTCTGCCACTGGTTAAAAAGTAGCAAGAGAAGTGGGGGAAGGTGTGATCCCAAGCCACATGTACAGAGAGCTGGCCATCTCCACGCTGCCTGCACTTCCCAGGGGATGACCCAGTGCCCTCAGAAAGTATTGCCAGTTTTGTCCCTGTGCCTTAGCAATCTTTTCCAGCAGAAAGCAACGTGCCATCTCAGGAGTTATATTTCAGTGGCTCACCTGAACCAGTGCATGGCCAGCTTCTCATTTTTTTCCACTCCAGCACCTGAGATAAAGGCAAAGCAGTGAAGTCACAGTGATGACGTAAAACACAGTGGCCAAACCCAGCATGCAGAGCCACATTTGAGATTCACATGCATGGATATCCTCCAACAGCAAAGGTTACCTTGCAGATACCTCTGCCCCACAATGTGCTGGGCGTGGGGGTACCCAAGGCGTGCGTAGGCCTGTGCCACGTGGAAATGAAAGGCCTGGTAGCACAGCGGGATGCAGAGCAGCAGCAGGCAGGCTGCCAGCATAGCCAGCAGCTGCAAAACAGGAAACGTGAGGAGAGAAAGGAGCCAGGGACTGGCTACAGCAAATACTCATATGAGCTATAGAGCCTCCTGAGCCTGTTCCCCAAAAAGAAATGCAGAAGGCCTCACGCAACCACAGAAAGTCAAAGCAACCTTTGATTCAGAGCCGCTTCCAGCATCCATTTAAACTGGCAGGAAACCCTGGTTGAGTCCCAAGTTAATATCACCTCATTTTCCAGCCGTCCTCTTGAAGAAAAATAATTATAAGCTGGGCTCAAGGTGCTGGCCTAACAGCGTTAGGGAAGAACTATTCAAAGTTTCAGTGAAAACGTGCCCCAAAGGAATCCACGAGGACAGTGTGTGAACCAACAGCCACTGCTTATACCTATCCCTGGAGTGCAGACAGATCTCAGCAGTCCAGCCCCCCTTACACGCCTTTCCCAAACAGAGGAAAAACACACTGCACAAGGCAGAGTGAGCCACGGTATGAGCACATAACTGTCTCAGAGAGCAAAAGCAGTGAGAAGCCCCCAGCTTCCCATCCAAATTGCTTGCTGCCATCCCAAGCCCCACACTTACCTCCCAGGTGCTCCATGCCAAACCAGGGTGCTGCCTGCACTGTGGGGAGGGATGTTCTCCATGGGTGCTGGCACTGCCCCTTCCTACCCAGTGACGCCACACCAGGGGCCTGATGTCTACCATAGCTCCCTGTTGCCAGGGCCTGAGCACTGCCAGCTCTCTGTCCTCCCTCACAGTTCTGTTACAGGTCCCCTCACCCGGCTTCACTCCTGATTTGTGGCCCAGCTGCTCGGCTGAGATAAGAGGGATGGACATACTGACCTTGCAGCATCAAAGCAGAGACTGTTCTCCCACTGACACCTATTGAAACCACTGATATTTAACTCTGCAACAAACAGATGGCTAATCACTGTATTTGATAAAAGTTGATGAGGAAAAGAAAAATAATGGGTTTTTTTTCTGCTTTTCTGATGAAAAGAAGAGCATTTCATGAACATTAATGATGTTGTTCAGCACTGCAAATGTTGGACACCTTGTTATATCAGTTGCATGATCTCCTCTGGTTGTGTCAGGTGAACATGAGAAGATGCAGCCTCAGATAAGGAAATTAGTCAAGACGCAATGACATGTAACCAGGGAATTATCAGAACATACAATTTCCACCATCACCACCACAAAGTTTGACAGGATGGGATTACTCATGCTGCTTTTTGTTAAACTGGAAAGTTTGCATGTTAAATACAGTCATTTTATAGCTGCATGATTTTACCTTTATTCATCTGCAGTGCCTTCATATGACTGTCATGACCAGCTGGGTAGAATAGAGGAGAGCAGTGAATGTTATTATGCTAATAGAGCTCAGAGAGCTGTGATCAGCAGCACAGCGTCTAGTTGGAGGCCTGTAGCTAGTGGTATTTCCCAGTGGTTGGTACTAGGCCCAGTTTTGTTCAACATCTTCATCAGTGACTTAGATGGAGGGATAGATGTACCCTCAGCAGGTTTCCTGATGGATGATACAAAGCTAGGAGGAATGGCTGGCACACCAAAAGTCTATGCTGCAATTCCACAAGATCTGGACAGGCTGGAGAGTTGGATGAAGAGGAACCCAATGAAGTTCAGCAAGGGCAGGTGTCCTACACCTGGAGAGGAATAACTGCTTGCATCAGTACAGGTTAGGGGCTGAAGTGCTGGGAAAGAGCTCTGCAGAGAAGGACATAGTTGTCCTGGTAGCCAGCAGGCTGACAGTGAGCCAGCAGTGTGCACTTGTGCCCAAGAAAACCGATGCTATCCTGGGAGTCATTAAAAGGAGTTTGGCCAGCAGCAGGACGAAGGAGGTTATTCTCCCTCTGTACTCTGCCCTGGTGATGCCACATCTGGAATACTGTGACCAGTTCTGGGCTCCTCAGTTCAAGAAAGGCAGGGATCTCCTAGAAAGAATCCATTGACAGTCTGCAAAGATGATGCGGAGCGCGGAGCACCTCCTTTATGAGGAAAGGCTGAGAGGCCAGGGAGCGTTCAGCCTGGAAAAGACTGAGGGGATCTTATCACTGCTTGTAACTGTCTAATGGGTGGGAGTCAAGTGGATGGGGTCAGGCTCTTTCCAGTAGTGCTCAACAAAAGAGAAAGGGGCAGTGGAAAAAACTGGAATATAGAAAGTTCTGTATGAGCACAGACTCATAGAATCACAGAATGGCCTGGGTTGAAAAGGACCACAATGATCATCTAGTTTCAACCACCCTGCTATGTGCAGGGTCACCAACCACCAGACCAGGCTCCCAGAGCCTCATCCAGCCTGGCCTTGAATGCTTCCAGAGATGGAGCATCCACAATCTTCTTGGGCTAACTGTTCCAGTGTGTCAGCACTGAGTGAAAAATTTTCTTCTAATATGAGAATGTAAAGTCTCCTCTGGAGATATTCGAAACCTGACTGGACGCTTTCCTATGTAACCTACTCAAAGGAACATGCTTGAGCAGAGGGGTTGGACTAGATGATCTGCAGGGATTCCTTCCAAAACCAATGAATCTG